GTCGGTTGCCTCCCCCGCTATGCATCACTTGATGCATTTGCTTTTGCTTTTGCGAGCGAAGCCGCAACAGGTCAGCTAGTGAGGTTGATTGTCTTTTGCAGGTACCTGGATTGAACTTGCAGGAGAACCAGGTTTTTTACATTTACTCACGCGCTTTGACCGAGCCGATGCGCAGACAACTCGTGGCCTAAGCAAAGTCTGGAAGCTACAACTACAGGCAATTTCGCAATCTCGCTTTCCAATGAGAGCAGATGACCGCACAGGTAGTAAAGTGTGAACCGGTAGGTGGGTACGGCAAGCATGTCCTTTGGAGGACAAAGCACGAGGACCACATGCTTGTTTTTTATGATGACACCGTATAAAAATTACCTCTCGACGAGTCGGAAGGAAGAGATAATGACGGCAGCGAGTCGGGAAAGGGTGACGTCGCTGCCGTGGTGGCTCACAAGGATGGCACCAACCAATGGGAGAAGAAAAGGCTACCCTCGTTCCCCGAGCACCCCGGCATCATGTTTGGAAAACGGTTCGAGAAGATGGGTATGACACGAGAGGAGTGGCAGTCCAAGGTGGACAACCGCCAGTGCCTCAAGTGTGGCACCGTGGGGCATGTGATAGCCTGGTGCCTACTAATTCGTATCCCAAAAGCGAACAGCCAGTAGGAGTAGCATCTGCTCCTACTGAGTTAAGGGGTTGAGAAAAGGTAAGGCACCAAATATCCCTTTCAACCCTTCGACTCAGTCGGCAGAGGATGGCTCTTCTTCGGCCCGTTGTCCAGAACACCCTAACATTGTTTAATGTTTTGTCTCCCTGGATGATTCCTTTGACGAACGCGGAATTGAACACCTCGCCCTTAGGAGTTTGTGGGCTAAGAAAGCTAAGTCTAAGGGTGAATTAATGATCACGGACATTGAGATTGTACATACGCGAGTAGGTGCTTTATTAGATTCAGGATCGACGAGGACCTACATATCAGAGAAGGCAATTCGTAAATTGCATCTGGGAATGAAGGTAAGAGACTTGCCTAGACCTATCACGTCTATGTTGGTTGACAAGAACACGATCACTGTTCCTCAATATGTCGATCGTGTAAAATGCTGTTTCAGGACTAAGGAAGGAAAAATGATTCCACATGAGATGTCCTGCCTAATTGAGAAGAATCTGCCGTTCAATATGATTATGGGAATGAATTGGGATGAGGAAGCCGACGTAGAGGTCAGGCTTCAAGAAAAAATTGTCAAAGTGAAGGACGAAAAGTTTAAACTTTGCGGAATAAAACTGTACCATAAGTTTGAATCTGACTTATCATTGTCCTTCTGTTTCATGAGTTATCCATCCTCAAAGAAGTTGGACCATGATGTGATAATGGTGCTTGTTAAACCACCAGTACTTGGGCTGTACATTAGTCGCGGACCTTTCAAGTTAACGCGCCACAGCCTTAGGTGGTTGGCGAAGGGAAGGTCCGGTCGTTGCTGGATGGCCAGGCCTCTGTTTTCTCGGTATAGCACCAAAAAAAAAAAAAAAAAAAAAAAAAAAAAAAAAAAAAAAAAAAAAAA